ACACACACACACACACACACACACACACACACACACACACACACACAACGAACATATTGAAGAGCACACGTGGGCGTGAGACGTACGTGGGCGTAACACGGCGTAGGCGTTTGGCCTGTTGCGGGGACTGCAGAAGAGCGATCGGGGACGGAATACGGAACACGGTTGTTACGATTTTCCCGTCTGTTAGTAACGGCGAGAGGTGAACGCAGATATCCCGGGCACAATTCACCGGGAGCCTAACGAAAACGAAGAAACGACAGAAAGGTCGTTTAAGAGTAGAAACTACATTAAGAGGACGAATGTTAAGTGATTCGCGAGATTTTTTTATGAAAGAAAATTTTGTTTAAAAAGTTGTTAAACTTTAAGAATCTTTTGCTGTAACAGTAATGGAGCGAAATGAATTGGTACACAATTTTATAACATAAAACATAAAATATTGCGTGTGTATTAATTGTTAATAAAAGGAAAGAAACTTTTGGGACAACCTAATACAACCATACCTACGTGTATGGATCAGACACAGCTACAGCCCCTGAGGGTTGTTAATCGCAGAGCGACTAACTCGAGCCGCGCGAAAAATATCTTGTTTACCCAACGAAAGCAATCGAGAACGGAGACGGTTATAGAGGTGAACGCACCGTGGCGTTCGCGATGATCCGTTGTGTACACGTCCTCGTCGAGAAATAATACCGAACTATTTACGATCTCATATTTCGCCCGTCTACATAAATATTTCTGTCGAATTTTCGAAATTAAATAAAGTACACGTTGTAGTACCGTTTACGTCAAGCTGACGTGTATTTTCAGTGTCTGAGACTGCGGGAATGAAAATGTTTGCGATTTGGAGGTTCGCTGTCACAAACACGATGAAAGGCATGGCACGTTTTCTCGTACTGTTTACGAAAATGTAGCATTATAGGGATGGAAACACGATAGATTTTTAGATATTTATTATCGTTGTTTGATTACTAAAATAAAATATAAGCTTTGCCTCCAGAGTTTCCAAACACTACACGAATAAGTTTTAGGTTATTTAACCATGTTCTTAATTAATACAGTTTTAGGTTATAAATTATATTCGTTATTAGACTGCGGATCTTTATGCATTTATAGGAAATTTGAATGCGCAAGAGCCTACATAATGCACACAATATGCAAGAATATAAAAAAGATCGAGAGTAAAGTTCGTGTTGTAATATTTGCAAAATAAAATTAATTCTTATTTAGGTTCGATATTTGTAGGCACGTTCGCGAAGATTTTATTATGCATAAAGATCCGCAGTCTGTTCGTTATAATTACGATATTATCATACTTTAAATGAATACAACTCCTAACCTAAACACGATGGAGAATCTTAGTTTGCGACATTGTTTTCTATGATAATAAATTATGCGAAATGAAAACATGGTCGAACCACGACGCCACCGAAATTGTAATCTCCCCGAAAAGGATTGTTATCGTTTTAAGATAACGTAATCACTGGCTGTCGGGCTATACTATGCATGTCGGATTGGACGTTAGTGCGCCACGAAAAAGGGACAGTCGCGGGTTGTGTGTCGGCTGCATTCTACTTTTTCGTTCTGGCGTCACTCTGATCGATCCCCCTCCCCATCCCCTCCCCTCCCCCGTACCTTTATCTGCGTCGAGTCGTCTCGGAGACGACTCGAGGATGAGGGTGGCTCGAATAGAACACAGTTTTCACCGTAGTGGCGGGCAAATTCTCGGAAGCGAACGCTCTTCAGCAAAGTGTTTACTCGAGATACGACGCATCCTGGTGCACTACGCATCTCCGTAATTGACCTATTTCTCTCCAAGAAACGGTTCTCTCCCCCGCCTTCCCCCGCCCTCCCCCCCATGCACCCCCTCCCCCTCCCAGCTCGACAATTGCCAGCTCGACTATCTACGCGAAATAACGTTCACCCGATTAAAGCGGAAGCTGCTTTGTAATTGAATATTCAACGAACATCGCGTTTCCTATGCATCGAGGATCATTTTTCCATTTTCGATGAACAAAAAATATGGCTTTCGAATTAAATAACTTCCAAACTGATCAGTCCGTGGCTCGAGACTCTCGATACTTTTCTGGAGCGAGCGTAAGAGTTTATTAACGCGTACAGAGATGTACATGTAGTTCTATTCGATTAATAGAAAAGAATATTTTTTTTTTCTTTTTTTTTTGTTCGTTTCCATTAAAAATTCGCTTTCACTTATTCTTCATTTTATGGATAAAAAGTATCTATGAGCGTAAGATCGTGGGAAAAATGGTAAATAGTTACGGAAACAACATTTTTTTGTTCGTTTACTAAAGGTTAAAGACGGACTGTGCGAAATACGAAACGCAACCGAACCGTTTCCGCATTGTGTTTCGTTTTAGAGCGAGCAAAGGTCAGGGGAACAGAGGCACGCGATCGTTGCTAATTTCTGGCCGAGTATCGAGAAAATTAAGAGCCACACCCTGTGACCGACGTGGGATACTTGTTCCGCGAACTTGAGAAACTGACCCCGGCGAGAAAACATGGCCCAAGCTGTTATTTATTCATGCGTCGAGTATCTAGAGTCGTTTAGAGTCGTCCTCTGTGAATCTATAAATATTATGACCAAGTTTTCTAAAATTTAATCTGTAGAAATTAGCGCGTATAAAAATATATATATATACGAATAAAATGAATTCATAGTAAATTTTAATGTAAGTATTTTGTTGTTTTTTGTAACTAGTAAATATTAGAATCAAATTTAATTATTAAACGATAAATACACAAAAATTAATGTTTCTACACTACTCTTCGGTACATTTGCGACGTGTTCATACCTGCCAACTGTGACTCTAAAATAAAGGATCGAGACGTTTGAGACTGCGAATATCATCATTGTTTATATTCGTGTTATTTCACTTAGCCTTGTATAACTTAAAAAAAAATAAAAAATAAATAAATAAAAGAGACCGAACCTTGTTAACCACAAAGAAGAAAAACATGATCTGCAAGCAGTTGACTGTCGCATCTAGGAGAGTTGATTATTCCACGGAGGATACCACCGAACGGAAGGACCTTGCCACTTGTAATTACGGAAGAGTTCTGTGAAATAATATAATTCGACGTGCTCGACGTCCTGAAGGTTGGTCCCCATTGACGTCACTCGTTGATTCTGGAAACGACGAATCCCCGTGCTTCATGGATTTAGCAAGAGGTGGGGTGCACGCGTTGGCGAGGAAATCGCCCGTGGGTGGACCGACGGCGGTTCAATCCAGGAACGTACCACACGAACACCGGGCCCCTGGATCAAAATACAGGGTGTTCGAAAAATGTTATAACACCTTGAAAGGTTCGGGAGGTGATTTGGAACAACTTTTTCCTTAGCGAAATTGTTGTCCGAGGCTTCGTTGAGGAGATATTAACGGACAAACACTGACCAATCAGAGCGCGCGGATACCGTTGGAGCGGCCGCGGTAGCGAAGGCTACGAGCTAAGCGGCAGCGCTCGTACGCAAACAAGTAACTCGACGCGCATCGAAGGACATTGACGCGGCCGCCTAGCGCGTACCCTTCGCTACCACGGCCGCTCCAACGGTGTACTCGCGCTCTGATTGGTCAGGGTTTTCTCTTAATATCTCCTTAACGAAACCCCATCCGACATTTTTGCTAAGGAAAAAGTTGTTTCAAATCACCTCCCGAACCATCCCTTTCAAGGTGTTACAACATTTTTGGGACACCCTGTAAAGAACAATAGACAGCTGTTCAACGGAGAATCTGTTTAACTTATCGTAATACACCTTTTCCGTCTCTACAATTTGTTAATACTTTATGCATTGACGACGCAACGTTTTAACGTATTTAGCGTATTCGCCTCGATACATCATTTACTTCTGACAGCTTATCGATTGAAAAATCTCTGCTATACAGTTGAAAGACACAACGATTTGAACAAAAACAAAAATTGGAAATTCAATAATTTAAATAGTAACGGAAAATACATTAGTTACGTCGCTTAATATATTTAATCTAAATTTAAAGAATTCGAACTCAACGTGTTTTAGCTCTGTGGTATAAATATAAAATTTGCGATTGTGATATATTTGTCTGTGTGTGTGTGTGTGTGTTATAGCAGAATAATGGAAGTTGGATAGCAAAGAATTTTGTAAGGACTTGTGTTGGAACTGGGCGTTTCGAAACGTAGAGACGGCGTTGCGAAGTGGAAAATGTGGAAATCCGAGAGAGGGGGACATCCCGAAGGAATAGATCGATGTTTCGGTCTGTGTAGTAAGGGACGCCTGTTGATATAAAACGGGAGTGGGTTCATTCATGAAAATGGCGAATCGGTGAACGCGTTACACCATCCTGAAATATATATAATAACTACAGTAGTCATAGGCAGATTATATGACACTAGTTACAGGAATGTATGCAATCGTGAACTTTGTTAACTCTGTACCGATAGCTGTTGGACATATAATTAAACTTAATAAGATTTTGTTATTTTCATAGCATTAGTATTATGTAACAGTATTTTATCTATTAAAATCGTTCTTAAATTAATATTTATATAATACTTCATAATTCATATAATGATGGGAGCATACAATACTACCTCGGAATAGATAACAAAATATTAGTTGTCATGGAAAAAAGCTGATTAATAGGCTACTGGTCGATAAAGTTGTCATTATTTAGCGTAATTATCCAGGCATGCGTAGACATAGTAAAAATAGAAATTTATCAGCAATGCGTATACATACTATACATATACAGTTTTCTACGCTCTTCGACGTTACGATATCTATCTGTTGGAAAGCTCGAATATTCGAGCTACCGCGAACCGAGCCGAGCTGACAATGAGACTCGATTTTCGAGCCGAGCCGAATACTCGAAACCAAAGAGTATTAGATCTTAGATCAAAAGGATTAGTCTAATACTTTTTGCTCGAAACAAGCGAGACGCTCGATTCGAAAGCGACTAGCTCGGAACTCTAGCGGCGCAAAGTGGAAACTATTTCACGACAAACTTGGGTGCTTCGCCGAGAGATGGCGCTACATTTTTCGGTAATTTTATTTATTTAAAAAACTTGATATCAGTCAATTATTAGTGTGCAGATCGACAATTTGATGTTGGATTACATAACAGACAGTTTTGCGAGTACATATTACATTAATTATGTAGATATAGCGATTCAGAACAGAATAAGGTTGCAGCGCTACTAGCGATAAGTACTGAAACGAGTAATTTAACTAGCTTCTTTACCTGTATAATGTAATCCATGGTGAAATACATATCAAACTGTATCTGTGGTGTATAGAATGTAAGTTGGTACAACCTGTAAAATATGTAGGAAAACAACAATGACACAGTTGAGTTTTCAACTATATGTTTTACTTCTAAAAGGTATTGTGATCGTAAGTAATGGTAATTTTAATATAAAAGTAAACGTACACATATATATATATTGCAATATCTTCAAGAGGTTAAAAACAACAAATTATAATTTTGTATCAATTATTACATGATCATATTTTTTGTGTAGTTCTTTAAGCTTACCGACTCGGTGGTTCAATTGAACAAGCTTCCCAGAATCACCACCTTCAAACGTAGAGAGCGCTGTAAATTCAATAAACTTCTCGCGAGATCGGCAAACAGAAACTTCTATTAGCCTAAGGTATCTGATCATTTTCTTTAAATAAAAACTGTTTATAACAAAGAAAGTATTTAATTTGTGGTCCATCCGAAACCATGGTGCTAACAACAATATGGTTACATGTATCAATATTTTTTGGAATTGCAAATACTTGAATTTCGATAAAATTGGTTTAATACAGTCACGTACACGGCATCGTATTCATACAGCTTCGCTTTCATACATTGATTTCTCGCGGGTCGATGTATAAAATTTCATATCCTACGTCACCTTATAGCTAAAAAAAAAATAATAATAGGAACGACCGTTTGTGCTATTACTTTCCATAAATTAATATCAAGGCACGATTCTGCTTTAGTCGATCGCCACCACGAGCAGTATCCAGCACGTCCGAAAATAAAAGCGGCACGTGTAACGATATATTTAATTCAGTCAACACTTAGCTGCCGAAATGTTTCTCTATTCTTAAAACATAATCTTTACGATAGATAACACGTCTGAAAACCAAGTCTTTTCTTCCTACTAGTCAGTTCGTTGTTTTCAGGCAATAAACACTCTTCGACATAAATATTAACGAAAGATAATACAAAATATTTCCTATATTCTTTTCCATCGACTGTATGCTGCCATTATCTCGTTAAACTTTGCGCAATTGTTTCTACCTTATATCTAAGTATTCGATAAGTATTAACGAAACGTGCCCGCGTTATATTTTAAGGCAGCGTAAAGTCTTGTCAGGTACTCGTAAGTTGAACTGGAACGTGTTCTCTCTGGGATTGTTGGCGTCATTGTCGTCATCAAAGTCCTCATCGCTTACGTCAAACTCATCGTCATCGAGGTCTATGTTGAAATCTCGGTCACCCATCAGCAACCTCACACACATATTTTCCTCCTTTATCCGCGAGCGCACCAGCAACTCCAAAGTAAACAGATGTTCGTCGCGAGCCTCTGGCAAATAACGATGCATAAATTCCGCTAATCTGTAATCAAACGTATGAAATTACAATGACGTACAATCTTCTTTATCTACCGATTTCTTAACGTTTCATTCACCGAACATCGAAGCTATGGGAGAGAGAAAAGGAATGTCACTTTCCTGAGAATACAAAAAGATCCTATTAGATCCTCTTGATGGTTGAATGTTTGTAGTATAACTTTGACAATAACAATAACTTTGTTAGTGAATGTAATTAAATGGACTATGTAAATACTGTAACAATATACTGCAATGTAATGTGTTTAGTCCCGTCTTAGACTCTTAATCGTGGCTATTGACTCGAGTACATCGAATATATTAGTCCTATGTATACATAATCTATTGTAGTAGGTAGAGAGAGGCTAAAACTGGACCTTGGCAACAGTGGAGAAGTTGGAAGTGCTGAGTAGGATGTTTGATCGGTGTGTTGATATGGCAGGCGACTCAAAGTAAATATAAATAAACGGAAGGCTGAACTTCGAACATAATTTGTGCCTATAAGCATTTGTTATTAGGCACTATCGGAACACATGATTGACGTTATGCTCTGCCATACGACATTGACAAATCTATATCGTAATTCTTGGTTTTATCTTGAAACCATGTCTTAAAAATGTCGAATGGGGCTTCGTTAAGGAGATATTAACCGAAAACTTCGACCAATCAGAGCGTGCGTAGACCGTTCGAGCGGCCGCGGTAGCGAAGGGTGTGCGCTAGACGGCAGCGCTCATACGCTACCGCGGCCGCTCCACCGGCATACTCGCGCTCTGATTGGTCGGAGTTTTCGCTTAATATCTCCTCAACGAAGCCCCGTCCGACATTTTCGCAAAGGAAATTGTTGTTCAGAATCGTCTCAGCTACCCCCCATTTCCGGCTCCTCCCCGACTTTCGGGACACCCTGTATGTCCAATCGCTACCGATCGGTAAAGCGTTAACTCGATTAGAATCCTGACGTCGAAGGTTTAGCGAGAAGGATTTTGCGTTTGTAACGCGTGGCGTAAAGATTTTACGTGAACACACCGTAAAAGATACTCGACGTTGTGTCCACTTGGACCCGAGCACTCGAAAATTTGGGCGGCAATGCTGTTTAGCGGCGCCTCCCCCAGCCAGTGTTCGTTTCTACAGGTGGCGATGAAGATGATTACGGATATTTTCTTGTACCCGTCACGGCTGTAGAACGTTGACGACGTGGTGATGTACCCCCCAAGTTTGCACTCGCGGTTTTTTAAATATGGCAGTGCCGCGTTACTGTGAACTTGAAACGCCCGTCCGTGAACGATACCCTGTTAACAAAGCCATCGGTTCCGTTGCAATTTACATATTGGAAAATAAACTAACGAACATGGATAAGATAACGTTAGTTTTTGTAACTACACGTATGTTCGATAAGTAGATCTTCCGTAAATACGCGTTGGGAAAACTGTTGCGAAAAATTACGCACAGTGAAACTTATGTTATTCGAATTCGTAAATGTCTGCGTTATGATATAATAGGTCAAATAAGTTCTCTTCGCTTAGAAGTTATACTCATTTACGTAATAAAGAATTGCGGTTTAGGGCATTATTTTCTGATAAATTATATTAAATAAAAACATGGTTAAATGGCCCGAAAACTTATTCGTATAGATCCACTGGGTGGATGTGATTGTTCTTTGGGGTTTTGGGAAGCACAGCACCCTCAATCATAGTCAACGTGATGAGGTGATATAAAATTATATTTCAAATAGTAAAAGATTTGTGCATGTTATAATGATGTATTACAGAATGTGAACAAGATTCACAGTTAAATACCAAAAGTCCCAAAGGATGGTCATTGTCGTTCTATCAAATAAATGTGATATTATCAAACTTTAAGGATAACTCTGATAAATATAACTTCTAAACTAAACATGACAGACTAGTGGTTCGCGACTATTGGTTTTTTAATAAATTATGTTAAAGAAAGACATGGAGATAGTGTAGACATTTGTGGCCAGAACGCACAAAGAATATCGCGCAGAAATAATCGCAAAGTGTTCACGCAAGAAAGCATGATTCGTGTAAAGTGGACTTTAGCGAGTTGAAAGAACGGCCGATCTCGTTAGTAATTACCTCTTTTTCTTCCACCAACGTGGCCACGCGTCCGGGCTGCAACAGAAAGAACAGACGAGCGTCGAATAAAGATAAGAGCCGACAGCGTTTGAGCAGGAATATAGAAAACAATGAATAGGAGTTTGTACCGGCAGTGTGACGTAAACGCGTAACACAATCACGCGGAGGGCGCAATTGTGCTGTCGAACGGTATCGGTTTCTACAAGTCGCAACTGGTTTCACGTTGATCGAGATGCAATACTCGTAATCGGAAACCAAGAGAAATCATAGTCGTTTAAATCGCATGCGCGGCACAGAGGGAATTAGAGTGAACCGTAAGACGCGGGATCGCGAACTCGTTTAACGTAAATCGTAAAGAAAGAAATCATCGAATCGATAGCCGTGAGAAGCAGGGAGAGGTTCAGACAAAAGAAACAGTTTTCGCGAACGCGTCACGTTCCAGGCACGCGAATGATTCTCATTGTTGCAACGACGTCGAATCGATTGGAGAAATTAGAACGGCAAAGTAATTACGTGAAACTTTATCTAACTTTTATCATTCTTAATAGAAACATCCGCAACTACTTATGAAGTTACAGGCACACGTGTATGCGTGAATTATATTCGAAACGGCGTGGGCTAATGCACTGCTTCTCAACAGAGATGGGCAAAAGTCTAGACTTGGAATAAATCTGAAGTTTGCTGACGTGTTTGTCTTGTTTCCTCTGTTGAACATTTTCCAAAAACGTGTCCTTGTAACCTGGCGTGGATGTCAGCCAAATTTTTGTAAAAGCATTCACGTGGCGAGTTCATGACCAAGGAAATGAAGCTTAGAAATAGAATATCTCGGGACGTACCACGCTCGACAAGCTATATAGCCATCCAACAGGAAATAATTCGAAGATCAAACGCGACTACTTACGCGTGTACTTTTACGTTGTTGCGTCTTCTAACACGTGGTAAAAGTTTTGAAATTGTACATGGCGCGCATTAGTACCGCGTTTGGTATTCTACGTACTGCGAAATATTTTATTTGTTTAGTCCAGTAAAGTTCTCTGTGCATTCGGATTCTCGATCTTTTATCGAGTGATTATCGGGTGAGCATTTCCTGCAGACAGCGAGTCTCGCACGTTATCGAGACTTCTATCTGTTAGGTTATCCCAAAAGTTTCTTTCGTTTTATTAATAATTAATACATACACAATATTTTACGTCTGACGTTTCATTATTAAATTGTGTACGATTCATTTTGCTCCATTACTGTTACAGCATCAATGTCTAAGAGATTACCGCACAAAATAATTGAGTGCAAATTACAAAAGAAACTTTTGGGACAACCTAATAGTTTTTCGAGCAGACAATTGTTTTAACGTGTTGGAGGAGATCCTTGAAAGGGGTGGTTCGGGAGGTGATTTGAAACAACTTTTTCCTTTGCAAAAATGTCGAATGGGGTTTCGTTAAGTAGATATTAATAAAAGAAAACCCGACCAATCAGAGCGCGCGGATACCGTTGGAGCGGCCGCGGTAGCGAAGGCTACGCGCTGAGCGGCCGCGTGAATATCCTTCGATGCACGTCGAGTCACTTGTTCGCGTACGAGAGCGGCTACCTAGCGCGTAGCCATCGCTATCGCGGCCGCTCCAACGGTCTACGCGCGCTCTGATTGGTCAGTGTTTGTCCGTTAATATTTCCTCAACGAAGCCTCGGACGACAATTTTGCTAAGGAAAAAGTTGTTTCAAATCACCCCCTGAACCACCCTTTCCAACATTTTTGGGACACCCTGTAGATGCGTATAGATATATCGTAAGAAAGATCAAATTAAGGAGTTCGATGGTTTGTACATTAATGAACCAAAATGATGAGTAAGTATATTTATATTAGTATAAGTATAATTAGTTTAGTATAAGTATATTTGTTTAGACTAGAGTTATAAACGATCGTAGAGACACGGAATTAATTTCTACACCTAATGCAATATTAGCTAAGCGACTAAACATGTTTATCAATAATTTTCAACCGAGGTGTACAAATACGTATGCTCCAAAACCGTGAATAAGGAGACAAAGAGAAAGTAAGGTGCGCAAAGTTTCGTCCGCAAAAACTGACAATGGTGATTGCAAGATGTCGCTGGTAATGCTTACTTTTTCGATTGTGCCGCGATGAGTGGTGTTGCCCTGCCAAAATCGCCTCGAGAATCCCTTCACGTGTCCTACCATGCTCTTTCTGTACTCGAATCCTGGGTGCCAGCACAAGGATCCGTATCCGAATACCCAAAACTCATCGTTGCCGTTAATGGTATCTTTCATTTTAAAATGCAAAAGCGTAAACAAAAATCACAGTCGCCCTTTTCTCCGCCGAACGTCGCATCCAACTTTATATCTTCGATCCAACCGTGTTACGTTACGTTTACGTATCCTCTTTTTCAATCATCACAGACGTTTCGCTTTCGTATCAAAACAACTTTAAGCGAATAATCGTCGATTCGTTTCCTCCGCGTTGGTGCGCGTGTTTGAAAATATTTATTACGGTCCACGGAGATGTTTAAGTGTTTGGAGATCAACATCTAACGATCCTCCAAAATCCCACTAATACTGAGTCTTGTATCGACAAGGCTGTTACTTCGCTTTAATTTACTTTAACTTACGATGAATATAAATAACGAGTATAAATTTGCTTCTATACGTGGAATTCTAACGTTCTTGTATCTGAGCTTTCGATAAATGCAATTAACATTTCTTGGTTGTTCCGTTACCTCGAATAGTTGGAACGTGAGTGGTCGAGTCAATTTGACAAATGCGCGGCACGTGGCCCGTCTAATGCTTTTATCGCGGCGACGACTGAGGCGCTTTAAAGCTCGATTATTAAGAAACTGTCAACTCCCTCCACAACATTCTCGTTTCCTTCCTCCCACTATCCTTTTGCGAGTTTGTTATCCTCTGGTCATCGAGAAACGTACGATTCGTCCGATCACGTGTTCGTTCGCTTTTCTCAGTAACGACGATGCCATCCTTTCCAATAATAAATATCCCTCGTTTTATCGGGCGAGGCCTTCTTTGTTAGTTTTTTTTTTTTTTTACGAGAGTCAATCAACCTTCCGAACGTTCATAAAAATTTCCTTTGACAACTTTCCTCGAAGGGGAGTGGCCGAATCGAGTGTTCGGTGATCTAATTTTCTGAGTTCCTTTTTTATCGAGGTTCCCGTAGACAGAATCGATCGGTGGAATTTTTCTAAACGTTTCATTGGAATCGCTGTGGGTCGAATGCACGAAATTTTGTAAACACGAGACGAGACGTCCACTCCACTCGAAAGCTTGACTGAAACTGCTGGAAACTTGCCGGTCCGTCTGCTCCCGAAAAGAGACGGAAGTAGGTGACGAGGAGGGTTAGTACGCAGACCGCGGTAGAGGGGAAGGAGAAGAAGATTGCTCGGCGAGCGAGTGGGAGAACTCGGATGAGACGGCTGATGAAACACGAAGTGCAATTGACGTACTCTCGAAACTCTAAAGTACGCGAACAGTATTTGCCGATTATTCAATTTCCGGACAATAAATGTGATTGCTTGACAATTGTAACGCAACTGCTCTACAAATATTTTGCTAAAAAATAAAAATAAAATAAAAATTGAACAATTGGTTTGAAATAATATGTTTCGTGTATTTATTGCGGAATTCATTTGTTGATACCTTGATCGGTAAATGTTTTTATTTATGCATTAACAGTTTTCTTTTTTATTTGGGGGCGGAGGGGGAGACAGCTGTTTGATAACTTGATGCTGATTTCATTTGTTTACGAATAAATATGTAATTATTTAATGCATAATGATTTGTATTCTTCTTTTCGAACACGCGTTATCCATTATTTACTCGTTGCAACGTGTCAATTAATCAAAACGCAACATTTTGGAATTAAAAGAAAGAGGTACAATGAACGCATTTGATCATCGATAATTGTTCGATTTTTATACTCGATCGATATTTGATGAATACAAATGTTTTAACGCTATACGGCATAAGATAAGCAACACATAGTGGTGAAATATGGGACTACAGTTCCCATTCATCTTAAAAATAAAAACAAAAACAAAAACAAACGTTCACGCCATCTATGATCGTCTGTTTACAACAGAATGGCATTACCGACCTAATTACCCACCAAACGGTCGAAGCCAATATGGCGTCGGATTAACCAGCTAAATACGTAAAAAATGCTCAAATTTACACACGCGTATCTTTTTAACTGTTGGATTCCTAACATTTTAACTTATATTTTCGTGATCTAGGCATCAAAAATTACTAAATGGTACAAAAAAAAGTTCATAATTTTTGGTGCTCCAAAGTAAAGGGCAGCCAACGAAAACAAACACATCAGCGAAATTCAGATTTATTCGAAGCCTAAAGTTTTGTCCATCTCCGTTCGCAACAAGCTCATAGACGAAAGAATCTAGTTTCTTTCGTCCATGAACTAGCTCTCTTACAATTTGTTACCTTTGTAAATAAAACTCAGAAAGTGACCACGAATAAAAAAAAGGAGGGTTGAGCACCACTGATTCTATTGATACCAACTGTACGTTGTAAAAATTCCCTAAGTTTCGGTAGCATGCGATTTTCTAACCTAATCAGCTTCAGCTGGTGTCAGCTGGTGTTCGTAAGAGTCAAGTGTTGTTGACGGGTGTTTGAATTTTTAATTTTTTTCAAACGATACGCAAGACTTATTTCAATTATACGGACAAAGGTAATAATTTATCATGTAGCAAGCACAATGATCAAGTATTGACAATATTTTCTTTATTTTACGTGTATCCTACCAATTATGTTTAGAATCCTTTTAAAAGGTAGACCTGTTGCAAGAGATCCAGAAGGATATGCCTCCCTCTCCAAAAATGGATAATCTAATGGAAGACGAGGATATGATATGCATGGATGAAGTAGAAGAAGTGATAGAACTAGATAATTCAGGGGATATGGATGATGAAGATGGAGCAGGAGAAGATCCTCTGGTACAAGAAGACGCGATTTGCGTGTTTAGAGGTCATAAAAAAGGTAAAAAGAATTCCAATTGCTTTGATACATTAATATAATATATGATTTTCCTTTTACTTTAAAACTTTAGGTGGTGTTTTCTGTGGATCGTTGACTAAAAATGGAGAATTAGCTGCTACGGGAGGTGAAGAAGATAAAGCTTATATTTGGGATACATCAACCGGGGAAATTATTCTCGATTGTTCACGTCAGTCGGATAGTATCATCTTTTCAGAATTTAGTCAAAATCAAAAATATATAGCTGTTGGAGATATGAGTGGAAGCATACAAGTTTGGGAGGTAGCTGAAAAAAACCACTTCTGGTGTAACGACATAGGTGATGTGACGGTTGGTCTTTTCTAGTTTCAATTACAGTATTTTGTTTGATTGCAAATGACAATACATTGAAAAATTGTTCCTGGTATTACAGTGGATGAAATGGCACCCTGTTTCAAGTATTTTACTTGCGGGAACTGTAGTTGGAGACATATACATGTTCAAAATACCAACTGAATTTGAAAAATTTTTTCTCGGGTATGGATGTCGAGCAGAGACTGGCACAATATTTCCAGATGGTATTCTATTCTCAGATTGTTTTTGTATTACAATTGGAGAAATTATATCTTAATTGAATGTAACTTTTCAGGTAAACGTCTTGCGGTAGGTTACGAAGACGGCGTGATTAGAATAATAGATTTGAAAACGTCTGAAGAGGTATCCATTTCTTCTCCACTGGGTCATTCTGCTACAATAACTACTCTTGATTGTCATTCAGATAATAATTTACTTATTTCATCGGACGTAAGCGGGAAGACTATACTCAGTACAGCTAATACAAGCAAGGTAATTAAAATTTGAATATTTGTACTTAATGCGAGAATTGAAGTAACATCATTTAAAATTCTCAGATAATTTGTGTTCTGCAAGATCTGAATAACGGTAAACGGAATAGTATTGCTAATACTGACGAAGATGCTGAGAGTAGCAAAGGAAATAGTGATAGCAATTGGGTAGAAACAGCTGCTTTTTGTAAAAATCCCACATTTCAAGTAGCTGCAACTGGTACAGTCAATGGAGAAATCTTTATCTGGGATATCTTAAAACAGGTAATACTACTTTTTCAGGAATGCAACCTTATTCAGCATACTGATTTCTATTCCAACTATTTAGGTACTCAGGCTAAAAATAGAGCAAGAAAGCGGTATATCTAAATTGCTATGGAAAGGAAATACGCATGTCCTGTTTTCAGCAGGATTAGATGGTATCCTTAGATGTTTTGATGCAAGAAATGGTCAATGCCTTCGATCATTTAAAGGACACACAGCAGATATTCTTGATCTATATATATCCGAGTAAGTTAATGTTATTAAATATTTTTTATTTATATTAGAATGTGAACAAGAAAGAAAGTAAAAATAATGTTTTCAGAAATGGAGAAAAGGCATTGACAACTTCCGATGATTCCACGGCAAGAATTTTTGATATTTCCTCTATATCTTAACGTAATTTATTACATAGAGAAAAATATAAAATCTTTATTATTATATAAAATATATGTACATTTTATGAAAGTTCTTCATATATGTTGTACTTTGTTTTCTTTTTTAATTAAAGGCAAAGTTTAATTATTTTTAGCTGGTAGTCTGCATTATTTTATCCTTACACCATTCGGTATCAAGAAAGTAACTTTTATTTTTCCACAGAAAATGTGTTGGACTATGTTCTTCACCTTTTTCAAAATTGAATAATGTACTAATCTCAATCGCAATTTTCGATCTCACTAGACCGATTCCTCCCACTTTCTCTGGGGCAGGATGGTATACTCTTCCAGACTGAATATTCATATATAATTTGTCTGGATGAAATGGTACCTATAATAAATATTTTATTGGAAATCAAAGCAATTGCATAATTATTTAGAAAATCTTTAAACTGAATGTACCATTAGCAATTCTTCTGCATGAGCATAACCAAACCAATCCTCCTCTTTGCCAGTTTCACTATTTTGTTTTCCAACAATTTTTGTGAATACTATTGGCAAATCATCGCATCTCACAAAGTTCCTCTCTGGACCGCAAAGAGAAACATATGGAAAATTTTTGGTGTATCGTCCGGTGTCATTTTTTTTCAAGCGCTTGAAAAAGAATGCCAGAAATTTTTTGTCTAAAACGATACATCTTGTATGACGTACAAATAGTAACATTAACCTAGTTTCTGTATTGTCAACGCAAACCTTTGAAACACGAAGTGAAATTTTTCATGCGAGCATCATCCAGAAACAACTACAGCACAAAAAATAAACAAATTGTAATACAAATATCATTGATACTTCTGCATGTTTGTAATGGTAAACATTTTTTATCTAATCAAAAAAGAAATTGTACCATGCCTTGGTGATCAATGTAATAAAAGTATTCTCGAACTCTAGGTTCCGGTGATTGTCCTTGCACATATTGTCCACATTGTCTTTTAAATATCTTAGAGTAAACTGACTTTTTAATTGTGACCACACGTGGATGTAAAAATGAGAACATTTTAAATTGATCTATTAATAAACAGTTGACAAATAATTTAAAATAATTGCTATTTACAATTGCAATAAACAAGTAAATTTGTAATTTTAATAGTAAATTAGATTACGATATGCACAACAGACTTATTATATGTATATATAATACATATATGGAGATAACTGATCATCTCCTAAGAATCATCGATTGTCATTCACCGTAATGGTTCATTCGCATGCGTGACCCAAGTCAGCTGATGATATGATGTAGAATTTAAATATATCACTAGTATCGCTATTATTTAAATAGCAAAATTACACAAATACTTTCATGTTCAATTAACAAAGAATCCGTAAAATGAAACTCGAATGATATTCGAATACTCAAATAATCGAAGTTCGTTTGTAATATTCGAATAACTCCAGGGCCAGTTATAGTTCGAACATTATAACCTCACTTTGAAACATTCACCGTGTGTCACAAACCGACGTTATGTCATGCACGACGTAACAGGTATACGTCACGTAATAATACGGCTTAACCTAATAAGAAAATTAACAGGCCACGATATTTCCTCCGATAATGCTTTAACGTGTGTTTATTTAGTAGGTAAGTCGATCGTGTTTACATAAAACGCGACCATCGACACTTGCCACGGTCGATTTCAATTGACTGTAGAGCTGGTGACATCTGGCGCGATCGATTGGAACGTGATCTCGACAGAAACAGAAACTTCGATATTTCTCAACGTCACGTTGGTTCGCGCTACCCACGGACAGGCAGATTCAGGCAGATTCAAGAAATGAGATACGACGAGGAGGTGGAACGAACGGTTTCTGAAAACGGACAGAAATTTCAAGGAAAAGGATTGCTATCAGGACCAAGCCGCGGCGTGATGTTGCTGCCTCGTTGAACGTTCATCGCTCTACCGACATAATAACACAAAGTAAAAATGTTACCCGCGAGCTCGAGCAAAAAAAAATTGTGCATCTGCAAGCTGAAATCTCAAATTGTTGTCGTTGCCAAATAAGTCGTGCACAACGGCGATCCTGTGTTCCCGGAATATGGCTTCGTCCACGAAGAGGTCATGGAAACTCCGTAAGTGTTCAATTCGTGGATATTATAAGATCGTTCGTTGCACGGGGTGCGCGTCCAACGAATTACCGTTCTGGCGCTCTTTTCCCCGTTACGGGTAAACAATTTCTGTTTACAAATCAATTGGACAGAATTCACCGACGAATCATTCGCTGCATCTTCCTATTATGGTCATAATGCAATACTGATTCACATCTCGCGGTTTCAGCCTAAACCCAAAGAAATGCGTTCTTTTCATCGTCGATTACATTTCATTATTAAAGGAGTATTCTTTTACTTCTATCTCTTCCAACTCTATTGTCAATCATCCATCATTTTTTAATACAATGTGGTTTGCTAGTGGATCGAGCAGACTTGCTTTATAGTTCATACAAACAACCAATTGATAATGGTTATTCGACACTGTCTTTTCAGACAATGTAGTACTTTATTTAGAGACAGGTATTAATTGAATGTCTGATGACTAGTTATATCCAGCTCATTGCCTAAGAATATATTGACAAGTTAGTGGCCTTGATAGGAAGAATCCTCTATAACTTGAATAATTTTTTGTTTTGTTTCAATATTGATTTACCAAGGTCTGACTTTACATGTACATTATATCTATGTCTACAATAAAAGTCTTTAATAATAATAGCAACTATTAAGAAACACAATGCTGCTGTGATGTCACTGTAATCTAATATCTTTGTTCAGCTTGCTTTAATAAAGTAATTTTTCCTTCTGTGCAGAGGATTTTGTTGCCCATACGACCAATGTCAATTGCCTGGCATTAGGTCACAAGTCTGGACGTGTTTTGGTCACTGGTGGCGACGACAAAAAAGTGAATCTATGGGCAGTCGGGAAGCAGAATTGTATCATGGTATTTTCTGTCATTCCATATAGTTTCTTGTTTAAATAATGAATCTTAATTGATACTGACGTAGAATTTGTATCCTTGATGTCTACATTGGTGGTTTTATTACATTTGATACTCTTTCTAATATTGATATATTCTTTGTAGAGCCTGAGTGGTCATACTACGCCAATAGAATGTGTAAAATTTGGACAAACAGAGGATTTAGTATGTGCTGGCTCACAGACAGGGGCATTGAAGATTTGGGACTTGGAACATGCCAAATTGGCTCGCACATTAACAGGACACAAAGCAGGCATACGTTGCATGGATTTTCATCCTTATGGGGAGCTATTAGCATCTGGTAGCTTAGACACTGCAATCAAACTGTGGGATATCAGGAGGAAAGGTTGTATCTTCACTTACAAAGGGCACAATAGGATGGTGAATAGTTTAAAATTTAGTCCTGATGGTCAATGGATTGCCAGCGCGGGAGAAGAAGGAATGGTCAAGGTATCGATTAGTGTTATTCCAATGTAATATACATTGGTGTTACTAGTTAACAAGCATTTTGATTTTGAATTAGTTATGGGATTTAAGAGCCGGTAGACAGCTTAGAGAATTCTCCGAACATAGAGGTCCAGCAACGACGGTAGAATTTCATCCCCATGAATTTTTACTTGCCAGCGGCAGTGCGGATAGAACAGTTCACTTTTGGGACTTGGAATCGTTTCAACTCGTGTCGTCTACGGATCAGGCGCACTCGTCTGCAATTCGGTGTGTACCAACATTATCAGACTATTTATAATAAGTTTTGTATTACTATCGTGACGGATCTTAAGTATTTTATTGACTCATTTTATTTTCTGTTCAGGTGTCTCTATTTTAGTCAAGGTGGAGAATGTCTTTTTGCTGGCTGCCATGATGTGTTAAAAGTATATGGTTGGGAACCAGGTCGGACGTTAGATACGGTACCAACTGGCTGGGTGAAGGTACAGGATATTGCCGTGGCTCAGAACCAGCTGGTAAGATAATATTTACAGACAACGGTTGATAAACATATAATAGATAATAAATTAAAGTTTATTTTTATGACCTTTTTAGATTGGTGCAAGTTTTCATACAGCCAATGTTGTCCTATATGTGTGTGATTTAAAGAAAATCGCTCCATTGGGAGGAGTGTCAACGTCTGGTTCTCCGTTCAATCACGGGAATTCGTTAAGAAAAAGTTTTTCTAGAGAAAGGCCACCCGAATTGAAAAAGCATACGTGAGTGGAAGAATTTTTTTTAAGCCGAAAAATGGTGTTCCTTCTATGCTAGTTTATTTTTGTATGTGATCACAATGTTTCACTTTTAGACTAGATGTGCGGACTATAGAAGAGGCAGATAAGTCTGGAACTGACCCAGAAGATGAAGCAACCTACGCAGATATACCTAATGTCACCGAATATCACGACGTTTTCCAACCAAACAGGTCATGTAAGTGTCTTAAAATCTTACTGCTCGTTCTTTGTTGCAATATTCGGTTGTATACTCTAACTTACTCGTATTTTATTCTATTCTAACTCTCAACTATCCACCTATCGTCGCAAGCCTGAAAATATAAATGCATTTAAATGATGGATGTTGCGCCGTACAGTTTGTGAATGAGCATGCTATGCACGGTATGTTTCAGTGTCTCGCACTCCACCTCCAGACCCTGAGGCTTTCCAGGAGCCTCAAGACGTAGGTGAGTTCCATGTATCAAATTTCCCATCTATTTCCTCCTTTTATACGAACGTTGCATGAATGTCGACTTATAAACTTCTGCACAGACCTGGACGCTTTGGAAAATATAATTTATTATTTTCCTTTTAAACAAAACTTGTCCAGGTCTGTCTCTGCATGTAATCGAAGGAAAGCATTTGTTCGTACATTATTGCACACACATTTGGTTTTCAGATCCCACGCAACCGCAGATATTACAAACTCTTTCTACCTCAATGTCAAATCTAAGTACGGTGGGGCCAGAGGAAGTTCCACCTATGTCATTACCGTCGTCTCCGCCTCCACCCGCGCCGACGTTATCATTGACGAAACCAGTACCAGTGCGTGTTCAGCCAATCAAGTCATCGCCGCCCGTTCAGAGAAACACTGTCACATCCACCAGCCAGACCAAACAACCTTCTACCAGCCTTCAAACAAACAATGGCGTTACCAGAGTGTCGAAGAATCTTGCATCCGTACCACCCCTTAGACAGAGTATTACCCCGCTTCCTGGGAAAAAGATTAGTATTACCAGCGACGTAGGAACGCTTCCACAACCCTTGGGTCCGCAAAGGTCGAATTCCACGTTGACACCGCGTGTAGCACCAATGGCTGCCGTTCTTCCAGTGATGGACGATGGAAAATTAAAGAATAGAGCACCCAGTCCGGATTCTCCTAAGCATTACCTAAAGAGGCAGAGTAGTTGTAGGGACGGAGAACAGGGTTACGAAAGCGATTATCCGGTACAGTAAGTATATAGGCTGTTACGTAGGAGTACAGTGAGTCCTCGAGTTATTGATCTTCTTTTCTCTTTAACGAATTGACTGCAAAAATCGAGAATTCATTGTATCGTAGAGTTTACGTTCACTTCATATCGTTAACATCATCGAATTTTAATATTCTTGCAGAATTAATAGTATAAGGCACAGCCCCTCCGATCCTGCGTTAAATAGGCCGAATTCTGCGCAATCTAGGTCGACCTCGCTGAATAGGAACTTTGCTACCTCAACGTCGCTGTCCGCGCGCAACGCTTCCACTACCACCACGACGTTCGCAATGAAGAAGTCGAACAAAGCTCAAGTGCCCCCGAATCCTAAGGTAGATGTTCGACCTCCTCAATTGAGGCCGAGCGTCGAGAACACGGAGAAAGAGGAATTCGTTCCTATGAGCGCTGATAAACCTTATGGCTTGGATTTCGAAACTTTTCTACCTGTGAGTACTGCGAATCAGATTTTTACAAAAAATCAACTGGAAATCAACGTTGAAAATATGTTTTAACCATTATTCTTCCCAACAGAATCATTACGCAAGATCGACCGCGTTTGGATATCCCCAAATGGGAGTCCTCAACGAAATGTCAGAGGCTGAAGTGCTTAATAGCATGATGCGAGGTCACGAGTCGATGATGGCTGTACTTACGAATCGCCATCGTTCCTTGCAAATTATTTACTCTCTGTTGCACCATAAGGATCTTAAGGTACGTCATTGTTTCTCTATATCAGAGTTAGGTAGAATGCAAAAATCTCTTTGGGACAATGTGATCGGACTAATGATTAATCATTATAATTGCTAATTACGATTGATACGTATGACAGCGGATAGAGTGGTTAGGTGGTCAAACTTTAGTAGTAGCAATAGCTGTACAGTCACCTTAAGCATTTGGTTGCTTTTGTTTCCACTGTAGTAGAAACGTGAATAATATTTACGACTACAAATTCCTGATCAGCTATGTGATAAACTATACATTTAGTTAATGATTCTTGTTTGATTCCATCTATGATTGCTTAATGATTATTTTTATCATGATTGCTTCGTTAATTGTTGGCCAACTCTATGCCATATTGTACAGTAATGGTATAGACAAAATCAAAAGTAACATGAAATTTCAGTCTGCCGTGGAATCCGCAGTGGCGATGAACGACCTTTCTGTCGTTGTGGATCTGTTGGGCATATTGACCTTAAAACCGTGAGTAACAAGACTTTACGAAACACTAACAAATAGTTATTGAATGGAAATTTCTGTCCAAGCATTTCGTTCTTCATTATTGTATGTTTTGAGAAATTTGTTTTTTCAATGAACACTTGAAATAACATTTTTGTTCAATAATTATTTTCTTTATTAAACCGTCTTGCTTTTCAAATTTGAAATCAACTTCAATTAGCCTTTTATTTGCAGAACAATGTGGAATCTGGATCTTTGTAACTCTCTACTTGGTCCAATCGGAGATCTCCTTCAAAGTAAATACGAAATGTAAGTACAACTGATTCTCGTGTAGGATGAGTTTTCAGCACAGACTACTTTATAAAAGAAGTTGCGCTGTTTGAAGTAGTTACTAGATCAGATATTCCAATAACTTAATCGTTCAATATGATCTTAGATACTTTAAGTGCTCGAAGTCGTTGGATTAAAACTATCAACAGTTTTCAAAATTGTTTCAACTTCGTAAAAACTCCATAAAGTTCGATTGGTGATCTTGTGTTACTATTTCTTGTCGATAATGTTAAAGGAGTATGCACACAGTGTCCGTTCACACGTATCATCGTATAATATTACACCGCTTTCTACGTGAAACGCAACACGGTCGGTGAATTAGAGAAAATCGAGACACCCCTTCTGCAAGAGGGGGTGAGTTCTCGAATAGCGCAAACAGGGTATCTCGAGTGGGGTTGCGTACTTCACGTGGCTTACTGGACGTCTGTATGGGAATGGCTAATTCGACGAACGGGGGAAATACGAGGTGAAGAGGCCGACACAGTAAGAGGGTTCGCGAAATTAGCCGAGACAATGAAAGACAGTGCCAGATGCAAATTCGAGCCTCGAATCGTCGCTGTCGCGAGTTTTATTGTTTGAGTGATCGAAGCTCGAAGGGCCACGTGTTTCGAACGCATATGTTGACGCTCTCCACGGACAAATCCTTTTTATTTTCCTTTCTCTGTTGTCTGACGCTCCAACATGAATATTAATGACCGCGTAGGAAGAAAGATTACGGTTGTCCGACATTCTCTGTTAAATACAGGAAGACCTTCTGTTCTCTCTATGTCTGGATTCATATAGAGATCTCAATATTCCAGCAAGAAAACCTTGATTTGTCCCATTGAAATCGGTAGAATTTATTGAAATTTTATATGGAGATTTGGTTAAAAGATATGCACTGCAGCCTTCTGCACAGGTTTTGCAGAAGTGCGCTTCAAGGAACAAAGAAAAGAAATCAACAGTGCGTGCGACCGATGTTTGATACTGTGCAATTAACTGGCGTTCAGTTACAAGCTGTTGCTGTTGCGCTGTCGTGATGAGAAACGGACATTTCCTTTCACGTGGTCATTTGTTATCCATTTCTTCCTGTTCCTTCTCTCTCGAATTATAAATTCAACGCCCCAATTCATCGCAATTAAATTGTAACGTTTTATCTTAGATCGTTATTTTAATTTATAAAATTGAAATTCCAATTTCTATATTAATAAACAGAACAAGGTTTTTATTTATTTTCGGTCCTGACCAGACAATTTTAAACGTTAGATGATGCAACCAACATTGTGTTACACAATTGCATTAGGTATGCTTTTTATATGGCCAAATAATAAATTAAGAAGGTAGACGAAATTTAATAATAAAATATTAAGAAACGTTATTGTATCAAGGGTTATGATACACTATTTTTTTTTAAATATTTCAAATTATTTATCCCGATATATGGTACGGTAAAACAACTAACACTTCAAACAATGTTTTATTCTACTGGTAATTCCTTAATTAATACTCGAAGTATCGTTGGTGTCACAAATTTAATGTCAAAGGAATTATTGCTATCGGATCTTTCGACTATTACGCAATTGAATTAAATCGATCTTGTATTAATTCAATGATAGATCGATCAATGCACGACCTAATAATAGCACATCCGGTTGTGATCGGAGACTATCAAGTACGGAAAATTGCCGTTCCGTTCATTGCGTATCTACCTAATGCGACGTCTCCTTGATATATCATTTTCATCGACTCCTGTCATTTCTATTATTAAAACATAAACACACTGCTCTATCCAATTCCTCTAAATTCTCCAACTTCTCCTCACATCCTTGCATTTATTAAAATTAGGGTACTTCAGTGTCACGGTTCGACAGCCGTCGAAAGGGTAGAATTCTGCCAAACAAATCGCTGAACTAAATATATACATCTCGGTGGCGTAATGCAGTGCAGTTTGCATATAGCTGTTCGCCGTTTTCATGGCTCGTTCGTCACGGGCTTTCGTCCTGCTCGAAGGTGCCAGAGGCTCGTGAGAAAAAAAAGAAGTGGCAATGTATGTACATACATGTATATGTATTCGATCGTCGCGTGCCGCATTCGAGGGGCCGCGTTCCGCCTCGTGCTATCGTTTTCCGATCCATCGATCCTCTCACCCTTCGCGATCGAAGATTCCTCACGGGAGTTTTTCGCCTAAAAACGATGGTTGCTCTAACCAATTTAAAATCGTATAATCGTATAATCTGCGAGGCTACAAATATTCCTCAACAAATGTTGATTTTTTTTCTTACCCCAAAATGGTTAAATATCGGAGAATATCGATATTTAGTCAAAATCAAGAAACCATTTCGATAGTACAAGATTGTATACAAACAAATAGGTAGAAAATATATACAAACTAGTTCGTGAATTTTTCTTTAGTTTTTTTTTTTTTTTTTTTTTTTAATCTTTCGCGTCGCATTCAAATAAATAATCAGTGACGTAAACCGACTTACGCCCAGGAAAATAAAAATCTTTTGTCCAACGTAGCTCGACGTATCGCGACAAAACGGTTGGAAAGTCGTAATTATACGCGATAATAGTTGGACGATGGTTGCGAGTGATCCCAAGGTCCGATGTTCACGGGACGTTTAGAAGCGAGCGGAACATTCATGAGGCGGCCCGCGCGATTCGTCTCGCCGATTCGAACGGGAGCTTGCGTCGAACCCTTTATCGTCGTCCGAAAGCGAGCGCGTCGAATCTCACGGCCAAGCCTTTCGTGCCTTTCGTTATTTATTGGCGTCGTTATGGGCTAATAACACGTTTCGGGGCAAACTAGGCGTGACGAGGACCGGCGGCCGTCAGGAATTACGCTGCTCGCCCTCTGCGCTTTTCTCATCGTTTTCGTCCACGACTCTCTGATGCTTTCGTACCGATGCTCCCATTCGAAATTCAGCAGAAACTTCTTCAACGGAGAAGAGTCTTTGATTCGTTACTCGACTCAATTGTCTCGCTCGAACCCACCCAATGTGTTCTTTCCTAATTCGTTCATAAACTTGTTCCAATTATAAGGTAATATGAGCGATGCGGCGATCAACGTGTTAAACTAAAGTCATAAATACGCGAATATAAAGGCACAGATGTAATTTCTACACCTGATACATATTTGGTTTGTCGATTGTTCCAGGTACATAACGGTGGCCGCCACGGCATTGAGACTGATACTAAGGAATTTCGCAACGGTGATAAAGTCGAACGTGGAAGCACCCCTTCACACGATTGGGGTGGACGTGTCGCGAGAAGAACGGTGAGTTGTAATCGTATTACTCGGTACGATCTTCAACACTTTACCGACTGGTATTCCCATTTACCTTTTGACTACGAAGGTATACACTGAAATAATGGGTATAATGAAGCAAAGATATATGTAATTGTCCACCGAGAGAATGTATATCACGACCGATATTGATATCCGTCGAGACTAGCGTCGGTGAAGTCTGTGACGGTCATTTCCGTAGGACCTAACACTACCAACCAAACAAAATACCGCTTTAAAATGTGAAGTTTAACAATCCTCTTAAAATAGCGTTTCCAATTTCTGTTACCAGATACCACAAGTGCCTCTCCTGCTACGAGAAGCTTTCAGCGATCAGAGGTATCCTCCTGAAGAAGCAGTCGATGCCAGGGAAACTAGGACCGTTGTTCCGCGAGTGTTCAGTGCTGGTGAGAAGCCTCGAGTGACCACGGCTGAGTCACCACGCGAGCTCCGCCGCCAGACTCGTCGTTACCTGACAAAGAATTGGGAAAGACCAAGGGAGAAGTCGATGGACGTCGGCCGCGCGGGATTGCACGGAGAACAGCCGCGCGTTCGAGTTGCTGCGTACCGGGGAACGATGGCTCAACAGGACGGCACGTCGAGAATCGGTTCTTCCTTCTCCCCCCAGCTCTTTCCGGTTCCTCGTATCCAGCCGTCGACGCACCTGGAGGGACGCCAACAGCGGGAAACGTTGAACGCAAGCGATAAACGAGAATGTGGACATTACGAAACTGAACTATTATAGATAATGGAGATGAATCGTGAACTTTTTTTTTTTTTTGGACAATGACAAGACTAATCGCCCTTTACAAGGGCTAGCCCCGTTTTCAGGGAGAATGGGACGCGGACCGTCACGTTGGAACGTCGTCGATCGGGTCCTGTGCGACGGAAATTTTATAGACTTTTTTTTTTATGGAGAGTATCGCGATAAGAATTGTTGTAAAGTCTAACAGTGTATAATATATCGCGCTATGTTATATACGATAGGGTGAACCGCGTGACTTGTCCGTGTGTATTATTATTGTTGCTAACGAAGCAGTTCGAATTTACTTGTTTTGGATCACAGGTGGTAGCTTTTTACTTATCTCTACCTTGAACAACCTCGAGTACGTGAATTTGTGTTGACGAATACAAATATCACACTTAAGGTCGCTCAAAGGTTATGGTATCGTAGGTAATTGAGTAAGGTCACTCATAGGTATAGTATAATAAAAACACTGTTATCCCTTAGCAACAAAACTAACAAGGATGGACAAGTTACGCGATTCACTCTTGCACGTGCGAAGAGGCATGTGTACAGGGTATAAAATATAAACGGTCGCGTCTCTCAGAGGTGAATCTAGACACCTGGATCTGTGAAGTTTCGTTGAAGGAAACCTTCCGCATAGTCAACTACGACTTTGAAATTTACAGAAAGCACATATCGCAAAGAAAATGCTTAAATTTAGGTTTTTTCAAAGCATATATTCACCAAGATTCGGATGTGGATTCACCACTGAAAGTCCAGGTGATTCATTTCTTTTTGCACCCTGTACAATGTTACATTCGAGGTTATTAGAGGACGATGCAACGTCGTTTCGTTTGATAGAGGTTCGACGAAAATGTTCTCGTGTTCCGTGTTCCCAGAGAACGTTATACCCGGTGTTTCGAAGGCCTTCTTGCCAGTCTCGGCTTAATTCCTCGACGAGCACGCGAATGTTACGTGCACGGGGAAACCCCGGAACGATTAAACGCCGACAAGCGAGTTTAATTAAGGTGTAGCTAGTAACACGTTTTTTAGGGTAACGAGGAGAGATGACGAGAATAACAAATTGTATTTTTGCAAGAGCCATTTGCGTCCGTTCACTAATAAAACAAAGAAAGGTACTCTGATCGTAGGTATGTGTTGAAACCCCCGATACGTCTCACGAATGAAAACTGAGAGAAGTTCCGACGAAGTTTGAGAAGAATAAGTTTTTCAGCGATCAAGAGAAACGATAATGTTTTCTTTCTCCGATAATAATGCTTGTTCTTTTGCCTAACGAAGAGGGTTCGAATGCCTTCCCGAGATCTACACTCGCGATTTTTGTAACGATTTTCAAACGTTGGGCGATTTTTACGACGCGAGGAAAATCGGGACGATTTAGAGAAGGAAGAGCTATCGAACGTTCTGTTACTTACAATTTCTTATGGAACGCTACTAGAAAAGTTGGGAATTGCAGTTTGGGAAACGTTGATCCACGGATTGGATCGAATTTTCCACGTTCGAGCGCGGGACGAATCGATTGATCCACGGGCGCGCATTGTCCCCTTGTCCCATTGTCATTCTTTCTCGTTCGTCCACGCAACGTCAGTTTAGTTGTTCCCTATTCCATTCCATTTTCCGTCTGTTCGCGTGGTGTTAACGCGTCATGTCGATTCACGCTTACCAGGACCTTCCTTCAATTTTTGAAAATTCGCATACGGAATCATTCTGACGTTCGACTTTGACGGAGAATGACTCTTGAGGAAACTATCTTTAAACAAAATTAAAAAAAAAAGAAAGAAAAAAAAATTAACACTTAATGGGCCAATATCGAGACCATTTATCTCCCTCGAAAAGTCGCGGTGAAATTGTGAACGTGCGATCACTCGTATCGATATTTTTTATGAAAATCACGTACAATAACGAACCTTCGCGTACTCTGTCGGTAAAGTCGCGCGTTTCTGCGAACACATGTCCCGATTTTCTGTAGCACTTGTACCGATACCGTGCGAACCTTTCGACATCGCGTTCCAGTGACAATTTTTGGGATCAGAGAAGCCACGACGATGGAAAGACTATTATATTTTTAAGTACGTTAACGAATCAAGAACGAAAGATTTTTATCCAAGAGACGAGTGTTGCGAGCGTTAACCCTGGGATGAATTCTGGAGCTTAAACTCTGGGGGTGATTTTAGACCAGAGATAGGGATTATCTGGATAAAAGAATGCAAGATGAAATACGATTTTTAATTAACGATCACGTAACGATACTTTCGTTGTTCGAAGAGTTCGTGTTATTCGAGTTACCTTTAATCGACGAATAATAGGTAACGTTTTCTATCTTTCATCTTTCGATAACAGAAATTTTTATTTGGATAAAAACTTTGAGCGAAAGCTTAGAATTTGTTACATTTAATCGCGGGCGATTCTTCGTTCGATTCACGAAACAAGATTTCACTTTTATTTTATATTCGACGAAACTCGAGCGCTACGACCCTGATACTGTATTTTGTGCGATTTTTGTATTCCTGGCGAGGGTCGTGGTTAGCAGTGTTTATAATTTTGTTAACCATGGATCTGAGATTAAAAGGAATCGTGAGATGTTAGTCTCCTTCATGCGAATTTTATTAACAAACTGTTTTTATTCCATGCGATCAAGTAAAGGAGACATCTATATCTGAGTGAACGATATTTCTCTGTAGCTCCAAGAATCCTATTTAAGAAATCGAACTAACGATTTTCCACGGTATGACCATGGAATAATCTTGAGCACAAGGTGTCGACACATGTTAAACGATACGCAGAAAGCTGTATGACCGAATACGAACAAATTGCAGATAACCTTGAAAACTCGAAGGAAGAGAGAGTTTTAAATTGTCCTTTTTTTACACTTATTTTTATACTTCCGAAAGTGATTCTAAACTGGAGCATCGAAACCCGAATAAAACTTGGTCAGGACTGTACGATTCGTCTTTGTTAATTGTAATTTTACTACGTCGATTCTTGAACAAAAAACAAAAACCATAAACGCTACGGATAAATTTGACGCGAGAAGACAAATTTCTCGAGTATTCAGATCCTTCTACGATCCCGCATAATTCTCGATGGAACAAAGATGGCGGAGGTGAGAATCGGACCGCTCAAATCTCGATTCCGTAATTTTAACGCTGTTTTAATTGACCGATAAAATAATTTTTTTAAAAGTGAGAGAGTGAAAGAGAGAGAGAGAGAGTGAGATATATACAGAGAGAGAGAGAGCAAGAGGAAATAAACCTCGTAGGTTCCGTCCAACGTATTTTTATAAGGGAGAGTGAGTGTGCGTATTATTCCTTCCGGTCATCCACTTCCGGATGCGATCGTGCGTTTTCAAACACATTCGAACGAGTCCACGCGAGAGAACTATCGAGTTTCCGTGTACTCGTTCGACCACGATGTACATAATACAATACGCCTTCGTCGTTAAAGCCTTTGCACTCCTATCGAACAAAAATAATACGAGCTGCCTAACGCTCAATTAATTGTAACACACACCAAACGATATCGTAGTGCTTACGAGTTAATTAAGGACAATTGAACGTGACGACTGCAACGATTCCGATCCTACTAGTGGCGCGAACGCGTCGCGATCTCTATCGTTCGATCGTGCCAGTTTCATTAATGCCGATAAAACCCAGAAATTTTAAGTTACCGTTTACGATACGATAATCAGACGATTCCGTTCGAATTCTGTTCAAGACAGTTCAAGCACGCTACCTGTCCTACGCCACGCACCACACGATCACATGATACACATCAGACTTTGGAAAATTTGAATCGAAACGAAGATGTGAAATAACGATTTGGAATCATTTATTTTAGACCGTCATTTTTAACGCGGTTATTTGGAAATAAAAATAATACCTGCCACTTCATTTTATTATTTGCTTCTTTTTTTTCTTCTACATATTACATAAAATCAAAATGTTATACACAAAATGATATCGAATTTACGTAAGACGGCCTAGCTAACCCGTACAAACCGTGCTGAACATACCCCACGCGAGACACGACATCAAACAAACGATATTAAACTTCATTTGTTCGTCGTACTATCTTTTTTTCGTATGTCTATAGCCACTCGTTACGATGGAATAAAATTGTATCGACCACTACTAATGATAACAACAATAATAATTACGATACCGTGTAATCGTAATAAACGATACGCAGTTGTATCGTTGCACGGATAAATCGAGGGAATGGTCGCTCGATCGTGAAATGTATCACTTACTATTAACCGTCTGAAGTAGAACGTTATAGTTTTGTACGTTATGTAAATAACAATAACGATATTTTCTATATTAATCGTACTATATTCCTCGTACTACTTGCGAACGCACCGGTGCAAAGGGTTGAAGGCCTGCGGAGAATGCGCTGTGGTTGAACGGTGTGTATTTAATCATTCTTTTCTCCGTGAGACGTTTTTTTTTTTTTTCGAGAGAGAGAATACAGGTGACGGTTTGCAACATCGAGCGGAAACAAATGTTGCGCTGAGATATTCGTCTTCGATCTTTTTCGAACGTTTGTTAACGACATTTTTATTATAGTTTAAGCGATGTTTCGTTTCACCTATTAACAGATAACTAGTAATTGGTATGCCTACATTACTATACCGGATTACCACTAGTAATTTACGCAACTAAATTGCCAACAGATTATCAGCAATTCATTAAATTGCTAGTATCCAGATTACTTCCTGACAACGTTAGTAATTTCATCCGTCGACTGTAAATAATCCCGGACTGGTACCGCCATTTTGTTGCGTTTCTCCAACACGAGTTTTGGGTTCGGGAAAATTAAAAGAGAAACGTCACCTGCCTTCGGGAACACGAATGGACGAATTTTTAGTTGCGACGAGTGCGTGGCCGGCGATCGACTGTCGATTCATTCGCGACTAAGTTTGTAAAAATATTTTTTAAAACGCATCGTCAAACGTTGGAATATATATATATATATATAGGAAGTCTAATTTAGGGGAATTCTTGGGCGAATGCTTGGTCAATTTTGTAACGCATCGAGCTTGTCTTCTCGACTGCCTTGAACCATTCGATTGTAAGTATCGGCCACGGAACAAACCGAACGGCCGATTACGAAAAAATAATAACTCTATGCGAAATTTATGAGATTTACAATTCATTCCTCCCCTCCCCACTGCTTTTCTCCCTTTCTTCCACGCGGAAGAGAGAAAATTCTAGGAAAGCAATAAATAAATAGATATCACAGCCGAACTACGGTACGATAAACAATTCGATCGAGTCATTCCATTAAAGAAATATTTTCTTTCTCCTTAACAGCCTTTTCATCGATCCTACCGATACCAGAAAACAGTACTTTTTATTTTTTTTAAATCAACGCACGGTTGACTCGATTTTTTAAGACGGTGCGGGATATACTTTTTTCTCAATATCCTCTTGTACAAAAAAAAAAAAAAAGAAGGATTCCGTACGATAACCTACCGCTGTACGCACTGGAGATTTGAATACGCTTTTCCAGCCCGATCGAGAGATTCGTCGATTAAATCGCCCGTGCGAGCTCATCCATCAAGTTGCCTCTATTTTTTACCCCTGAGTCGACACGAGCGATAACGGGAGGCGTGAAAAAAAAAAAAAAAAAGAAAAGGTAAGAGGACTGATTACGAGCACCGCGCGCGGAGATCGACACGACGATCGAGATACCGTGAAACGAAGCGCAAATATTCATAATCCGTGAAATATCACGGACCATTCTAAAACGAGCCACACGCGGCGGCTGTTTGCATCGGGATTACGTATTCATAGGATTAACGCGAGCCCTTTGAGGGGTGGCAGCAACCCCTTCGTTCGATCAGGAAAAATCATTCCAACGGATGCTGTCGTCGAAGAGAACGCTGCGTTACGAGAATCAGCGTGACGTGCTTCCGTCGGGACTCGAAGTACGACTAACCAAAATTTCGTTTGGATCGGAGGAAAATAGCGGAAGCTACAGAGTAATAGGTACATACGTAGATTCACAAAATTACGTAGTCCAAGTTTGGTGTATGGAGGAAGATGTTAAAAAAATTCGATTCGAACTCAATCGATTCTAGGCTAGAATTATAAACTCGCAAGAAGACTTACGAGAAGTCGGCGAAATGAATAGTGCACGTATCGAAAAATCGTAACTCTCGATTGGCTGAAGGGATTTCAATGATCGAAACGGGAAACTGTGTATCTGCGGGAGAAGAATTTAAAAAAAATATATGAAACCATTCCTAAAGAAGAATTCCTAAAGAAAAATGATCTCGACGAAACTGGAAATAACGAAGTTGGAAAAACTTTCTTGATTCCACAGCATTCCTCCTTCGAAATGGACCACATCTCAACATCCTTCCAGTCTAATGTTAACCGATACGCTTCTTTCTTCGACGCTCGATAAAAATGGGCCAACGTGCAGCACGAAAAATTCCGTTCTACGTTTCCCTGGACACGTTCTCAGGTGCGGCCAAGGATTCGTCGCGCAGTAGCCGTTGCATCAGGTGCATTGCGCGGCGCAACGAGAATCCTCCCACGTGAACGGAACGACGGACCAGGCTGTTGTTGTGACGGAGATAAGTTAAGCCCTCTTCTTGTCACCACCTCGAGCGTCGAAAATGCTGTTTTCTCACAAAACGCCGGCAACAATGCCACCAAAGACGACGCGAACGACGACTACGACAGGGCCAAGCCTGCGTAAGCGGATTATCCCTAACCTTAGAAAGCGATACTCTCCGGCACACCCGCCAACGATACACGCACACCGCCGTCCACGTCTTC